TGAGAGATCCGGGCTGGTGCCGATGGATATCTCAGAGGAGTAGTCTCTTCTTTGTCTTTCTTGATTGAGTTTCTGTAGTATGGGTTTGGCAGGTGTGGTGTTCGATTCTGGCAACGACCATCTTCCTGGGGTTCGTCCCTTTTGTCTTGCTTGATGGTCTCCGGCCGAAATCGGCCGGGCGTTGCCTTTCTCTGGAGGTAGACTTTTAGGCTGGTTCTTTTGTTCCTGTGATGGCCTGTGTCCTGTCTTTTCCTCCGAGTTGATGAGTCTGTTGAAACCTGTTATCTGGGGGGGGGTTCTTTTGCAATTCGTGGTTTTTGGAAAAGGAATTCTATCTCGACCGGGAGGAGAATTCCTTATTCCATACTTACATTTAATTATAATTATACATACTTTATTTAAACTTCTTATTCCGAATTTTTATTTACCCAATTCTTTATTACAGTCCCCCACCTAATAATTTGAACCCATTAAAAATTCGTGTTTTCATACTTTTTCAGAGGAATATCAGGTTAAATAATGTCGTTTTCCTCTTGGTCTAATTCTTCCATATTTTCTGTGGACAACATATGTTTATTTTCAAATTCCCTCAATGCCTTAACCGCATTTCTATTCTCTTTTTCTTCCTCTAACTTCATGATTTTTGAAAGAAGGGTAGTGTTTTCCTGTGCCTTTTCTGGGTCTATTGGGAGAGAGGCAATCTGCATTCCTTGAACGACAGAATGTATCAGTCTGATCAGACAAGGAGTCAGGCAGGGTAGGAAGATGACTCCGGCAATAGAACATCCTATAAAGAATACTAGCTTTTTCCACCATGCCCCTTGCCCAAAAATTTGATCCCACCAAGAGGCTTGGAGAATCGAATTCCACTTCTGGACGGGTACATGGGCTACTTTCTTTATTTCAGCGGCTAGACCCTTTGTAGTTTCTCCGAAGTCATCTATCTCCATGCAACACTCTGACTCGTTATATCTGCCACACACTCCTCCCTCCTCAGCTAGCAAATAGTCGAGAGCGAGTCTGTTTTGGGAGACAAAAGCTCTCATCTGAGAATGTTGTTTTGCTAGGAGTTCCAGGGCTTCTGAAGTGTGATTTGAAACAACTTCTACCACAGCCTGTAACCGAATGAGCCGATTAAGGAGGTAGATTGGGGTCTTGTATCCCCAGCTGCCATCATTTGCCCATGTTGCCGGTCCATAATATTGTATGATTCTTTCGGCGGGCCATTCCTCCCCCTTCCACTGGTGGTTACCTCCGGCTATTGGTAGTTCTCGTTTCAATTCCCTCTTTTGTCGGGCTAGGGTTTCAAAGAGGGGAGCACCTAAAGACCTGCTTTCATCTTTAGGTAGTGTAAAGAAGAAAGGCCGAATTATTCCGAGTGTGCATGATCCTTTCCAATTTCTAGGCAATTCACTGTATGCTTTTTTTCCGCATATCCAGTAAATCCCATCCGGTGCCTTCCAATCTATGTTAAGTTTTGCCGGGTCCTCCCAATATTCCCTCAGGCCAAGAAAGGCATGGAAGGGATTTGCCCCGTCCTGTTTGTTCCAACATAGACCAATTAGATCTATCCATTCGCAATTATTTTCCCGAGATTGACTCCAATAGCCCTCGGGTGATTCCGGCTGCCAAATTTTTGTTTTTCTATCTGAATTTACCGAGAGAGTTTTTACACACGGGGTGTAACCAACTAGCTCGGTGAACTCCCTTCCTTCCCGACTGACACAAAAAGTTCCAATGATTCTTTTGTCAATCACCCACCCCTCTGGTCGCCGGGTTGTTTTGGATAATTTTAATCCTGTCCACTTAAGTAATTGTTCTGGGGTTAATCCTTCTCCCTTCCATGGCCATCTTTCGGCTGATTTCAGGCCACCACATATCCAACAGTTAGTCAATCCCAATTCGGTAGCTATTTCCTGCATCAGATCTATGAATAGATTCTGATTAGGGCTAGGTAGCTTCCAATTATCGTATTGTTTTTCCAGTTGTTCGTATTGTTCACTGAGAGAGTTTAACCTCTCCTGTTCGAGTCTTTTTTTCTTATTTTCCATTTCCCGCCTCTTTAGTTCAAGAGTTAATTGTTTTATTTTATTTTCGGGGTCTGAACCATCCTCGTCTTTTGCGAAACAGATCACCTGATCAAACTGCAGACACACTCTATCATCGTCATTTTTCAGTAAATCTAAAACTATCGGTTCATTACTGAATGACACTTTTGTTTCATGTTTCAGGTTTTTCCCTTCCCAGTACAATTTCCCCCCCATGGCACAATATTTTAAGTTTGCTTTATTGTAACACAAGGGGTTGACTCTGTGGTACGCAATGAACGTTGACTGTTTCTTTCCTCCAATCCAGACAGTTTTATTACACTGCCCGCAGACCGAGATTGGGGAAACCCCTCCTATATCTCTCTTATTTCGTAGGTGGGTCGCTTGGACCTCTTTTTCCCCTGTGTTATGGGGTTGCCTTTTTCCAGTACCTATCCCCGGGGTGGAGCACCAAATTTTTCCTTCCAGCTTACACAGGTCCATTTGGGTACCGTTTGCCCAACATTCTCCTGCGTGCAACTCCGGAGGGCAGGCAATCCATGGCTCGGTTCGCGAGACAGTTGGGCACTGCTCACACTTCCCNATAAATGCAACGGCAAATTAAAGATTAACAAAGATTAATTTATTATAAATTAATAAAGCAACAAACAGTGAGGAAAAAACCACAATAAATGGACAGCGCAGCGCTGGGTGGACAGGGTCTATACGCAAGGTATAGGTGTTCCCAAATCCACGTCTGAGGGTCCTCTGGCCTGGGTTTTTATAGGGATTTTATGTCCCCAGGCTAGAATTCCAACCAGTTTCCATTCACCAAATGTCCCTGATTGTCGGGTGAATGGATTTCCTGGCCTAGAACATTGAGTCAGTAAGTATCCGGGCAGAGTCTCCTCAAATGTAAAGTGAGTCTGTATGTATTTTAACATATTTCATCACAGCGGGATTGAGAGATCCGGGCTGGTGCCGATGGATATCTCAGAGGAGTAGTCTCTTCTTTGTCTTTCTTGATTGAGTTTCTGTAGTATGGGTTTGGCAGGTGTGGTGTTCGATTCTGGCAACGACCATCTTCCTGGGGTTCGTCCCTTTTGTCTTGCTTGATGGTCTCCGGCCGAAATCGGCCGGGCGTTGCCTTTCTCTGGAGGTAGACTTTTAGGCTGGTTCTTTTGTTCCTGTGATGGCCTGTGTCCTGTCTTTTCCTCCGAGTTGATGAGTCTGTTGAAACCTGTTATCTGGGGGGGGTTCTTTTGCAATTCGTGGTTTTTGGAAAAGGAATTCTATCTCGACCGGGAGGAGAATTCCTTATTCCATACTTACATTTAATTATAATTATACATACTTTATTTAAACTTCTTATTCCGAATTTTTATTTACCCAATTCTTTATTACATTCTGCATGTATTTTGTACATTGAATTAGGGTTTAGTTCTTACAGTTTATGTTTACTAGTTCAAAAATAGGAGAAATTTCCTGTTCGCCTGAGGGAATCCCTTTTTTTCTTGTCCTGTTAGGCTAGGAATAGTCTTGGTTTTCTTCTGTTTGAAACCTTTTCTTGGGTGAGTTTTTATCTTTTTATTGGATGAGTTATTCTAGTAGTTTTTAATGCAGTTCCATATCTGGTCAGTGCAAGCAGAAGGTATGCAACTAATATGGAAAATTACTGTCATTATGTGACATATCTCCTATGACATAGCTGGGGTTTAACTGAACAGAAAGAAATATTTTACTTTGCATTACTCATTTTCTGTGTAGTTAAATTCTTTGAAAGGGACCACTGAATCTGAATCCTTAAATTCACAGCTACTTAACCAAATGATAAATACAGAACAAGCTGGTTAACTTTTCTTATTTTGTTCCTGAGAGCAAAGCTGTGCTTAGTCTCTGAGCACAATGAATTTAGTGTGAATGGATTTTATGTAGGTTGCTGAGCAAACCTTAGGACAGGTTTCAAAATCCTCTCAGGTTAGATATGAATGTAAGCCCATCAAATCTACTTCCTACACTCACACTTATGAGAAGACTGTCAGAACAGAAAAATGCCATGTTCCCACCTCATGGAACTGCCCAGAGCTCCTGGGAAAGGCTGGGCTCATTCTCAAAGCACGTGAGACTCCAGGGTGAAAAAAAAAAAGTTTTTAGATTTCTTCCTCTTTACTTCATGGGGGAAAAAAAAGCTGTCGAGTACACCTAGATCTCATTCATCATTTAACCTTCACCAGCAGGAGGTGGGGTTGAAACACATGAGAAATGTATGTTCTTAAAATACCAGCATCCTTAGAATGTGAGACGGGGTGGAAATCATGCAAATGCAGTGACTCCACAGCAGTGGTAGGTACTTTTTAGTGAAAACATTGCAGTTTTTCTCTGAATAAGCATCTCTTCTAAAACAACTTACATCACAGGCATGCACTTTTGCTTCTCTTTTGCAAGGATATGCTTGTGCCAGGGCAGGAGGGCTCAAGCTGGCTCCATTCCCCAAGCCATGTCATTTCCTACTTTTATTGGGCAGAGCTGAGCTGTTTTTATTTTATTGAGCAGAGCTACAGTGAAGTTTTGGGCAATAATAATGACTCTGATGACCTGTCCTGCCCAGTGTGGAAGCAAACCTCATAACTTTTTATTGTATTTTATTTATTATCATCCCAGCAGCCACACCAGTGTTCCCAGACTGTGCAAGCAGACACAGTCACCAGTTTGCCCCTTGCAGGCAGGATGCAGTGACACTTTCTGGGGTGTTCCAAACCCATTTTGGGAGTGCTGCTTGCATGTTTCATTTTGATAGCTGATGTGTTTTCCTGCATTTGCACATTGTTAGCAACTGTGGTGTTTTTTGTGCAGTTTGATGGAGTGTGTGGCTTAAGCATGACACGGTGGCCCTGCCAGATAAACACTGAGTGTTGCTTTTGAGCCCTCAGTCACCTCCATCTGTCCCCTTTGCAGAGGGGTTTTTTCCAGATAAAACCCAAATGGACCAAGTGTTCTAAATACAACGCTGTTTTGGTAGAATGTGAGCTACTGCCATGGAAGAGATTCCCTTCTCTTTCCTCTTATAAGGACAGAAAAGTTCTCTCAATTCTTTTTTTTCCTGTATTCTGTGCATCTTATTCGATATGTTGGTTGGTGTAAGCAGAAATGATTGCTAATTGCTCATTTTAAAAACATTTGTACTATTGAAGCCATGTAGTAAAACAGTTTACTATTCTATGCATATCTGGTTTATAGAACAGAAGAGAGTGATAAGCTTTTTAGTGTTAATGATTTATTTCATTTTGGGGAAACAAGAAATATCATGTAGGAAATTCCATGAGAGATGGCAGAGTGCATTTCTTCTGTAATATTCTGCATTCCTACAGAATGTTGGTTGTCTTTTAAAAAATTGAAAAGCTCAGTGCAGGGGAAATATTCTAAAATTATCTCCAGAGGACAAGTTCTGGAAATATCTTAGAAATTTAATCAGAAATGTTTAGATTCATAGAAAGAGATCACATTTGGGTCAATATGAATGTTCAATAAGCATCCATTATTTCAGTTTCACATAGAATGCTTTATTATTGTTCACCCTCCAGGAAATTCAAGAAGATTTAAAATTATTTTGCTGATTATATTCTCATTACCAGGTCATCTTTAAGTGTATTCAGTAAGGGATACATTCAGTATCCAGTGTATATAATCTTGGTGTTTTTGGTGGCAGAAAGCTCCTGAACCTGAGGAAGAGGTGGCTGAGTTGTTCTGCACACAGGAATGGTCCTACCAAGCCCACTGGGACACCAAGAGATGGTGATGGGTTTTAAACTCACAGAGCCTGAGTGAGAAAAGAGTTGTTAAAATAATACTGTTGGGTGTTCTTCTCCATATATTAAAAAGCGTAGGATGTGGGAGTGTAAATCTTTCTATGAGAGCTGAGAAATCAGTGGAAAAGCACAAGTTAAATGATTTAAAAAAATCAGTGGAAACTGCTCTTCTTATGAGTAGATGGCAGCAGTATGAAACTTGCCTGTCCAAACCTCACCGAGCTTCTTTTCTGGATGAAAATTAAATCAAACTTGCCTGAGGACCCAGACTTCGAGCTTTTTTATCATTGACTATTCAGAGCAGTGTTACCAGTGCTCTTGCTCTTCTGTTGTGGAGGAGTTTGAAGTTTCTGAAGGCTGGTGGCAGGGAAGAGCACTCACTGAATCTTGTGTGTTTTGGGGATGTTCCTCCTCCAGTGCCGGCGCCCGAGGGTGAGCTGGCAGATCAGCTTTTTGGAGATCTTCAGGGCCCGCGCCACTAAAATAAGGGTAATTATCACTCCAGCAATTAAAATGAGGTCCCGCCAGAAGAACTGGAGAGACTTGGTTGGGAGAAGCCTCGTACAAACACCCAGATCATTCCCAGTGAGCTGCCCCAGGGATTTCATCCTCAGATGAGCAGGGCTGGCGCACCTGAGCCGGGCGAGCGCGGGCGCAGAGAAATCCTGCAGCCAGAGCTTGAGGTAGAGGATGTGACAGTCACAGTGCCAGGGGTTGTCCCAGACCTGCAGCTCCTGCAGGTGGCCCAGGCTGTCCAGGGCTCCAGCAGGGATGGAGGCCAGGCTGTTGTTGTGCAGGTGCAGGCTGCGGGTCAGGCGTGGCAGGGCGGGCAGGGAGCGCAGCCCCCGCGAGCTGCAGTCCACGTGCATCCCCCACGCCTCCCCCAGGGACCAGCAGCTGCACAGGGATGGACAATCCTCACCCACCACCATGGGGAACAGCAGGGCACAGCCCAGCACGGCCAGCAGCTCCATCTCCAGCTGCACAAACAACAATAAGTGAGGTTTATAGGTTTATTACTGTGGTTCTAAGAGCAGAACTGATGCCTTAAGTTTTAGCTTTCATATTTTGCAGATTCTGTACTGCATTAGTATATAACTCTGAACTTCATACAAAGTGTCAGCAAATTCTCCTCACAGCTCAGGCACACACAACAATCCTTTTCCAGCCCCAGAACCAAGGACACCGCTGCAGCTTCAGGCAATCAGGGAGGATGGGACTGCATCACCTGCAGCTGGAACTGCACAATTAACCCCAATATGAAATGCACCAAAACTTATAAAAGTGTGAAAATTTGTGACCCATGGTCCATCTTGGGTGGATCTACATCCGGGCTCTTGGACTGCCCAAGGTGCATCCTTTAAAGGCCTTTTAATAAACCCCTGCTTTATTCCTCTAACTCTGTCCAGCCTCTTCCAGGGAGCCTCTCAAGTTATCAGAACCACAGCAGTTATTTCTTCCCCAGGTTTAGGTTTCTGGAATAAAATCTTTAGCTTCTGTATGTCCCACAGAGACCAACTTCAGCACAAACACTGAAGACAGAACACAGTTCTTCCCTTTCCTCTCTGGTTCATTGTTTTCCCTTCATAACTGTACAAAAAATATTACTGATCAAAATTCTGGGACAGAATGTCACCACGATATGGTGGGAAAAAACAGTTTAGTTTTAGGCAAAGGTTTCTATTCTGCTTCCATATCTTCATAGGTCTAGTGTTAAAATTATGTGTTTAAACCAGGTTTCAAAATGAACCTTAAGGGATTGAATAATTGTAAATGTCTGAAAATCTTCTTTCTTTCTGAAGCCGACTCAACCATCTCCTGTGTCTTTGTCATTGAGTTATTCTGAGTATCTTTCCTCTGAATCTAGATACTCATCTGTGATTTCTCAAGAAATCTACTGGAGCTCTTTTTCCCAGAGTAATCATCTTAGAAGACTATGACAGCTGTCTAAAAAAAGTTAGGTGATATTTATGGAAAAGATGATCTCTTCTGATTTAATATTGAAACAGCAAGAAACCCAAACACAAGCAGAAACAAGAACTATGGCAAAAATGCAGAAGGGAGAGCTGGGGAGGTGCCTGGCTGACACTTACCCTGTCTGATCCCTCTTGATCCCTTTCCCTCCGCCTGCCAAAGTGCTGCAGTGTGGATGGCAGCACAGGCTGAGTGCTCAGAGTGTCCCCAAGGAAGTGTGGCAGGGGAGATGAGCTTTTTCCTGGGCAGGATGGGGCAGCACCCCAGAGCAAGCTGCTATTTATGGTTGTGCTGTGACATAAAGTGCTTGGGGTGGGTCTTGTGTTTTCTGCAGGCAAGAGGAAATGCTTTGGGATTTTTGTTTTATTCCTAATGTATTTTCCCTATTGCATCTGACAGCATCTGGAAGAATTAATCTGAGATTTGTGGGGTTTTTTCCTCCAAAAAATAAATATTCTCCAGGAATAAAAGTTATTTTGGCCCTGAGCTGCTGATGAGGGAGATGAAGTTAGCCTGTGAAATTGAGTTTTTCTGTATCAGTCAGCCAGATTTGTTTAGTATCTGCCTTCTCGCCTTTTCAATAAAACTTTCATAAAAGCACACCATAACATCAAAATAACCATGATAGGTGGCATCATTAAGGGATAGAGAAAGACAGGAATAGAGAGAGGAAATATTAATGCCATTGAACCGAAACAGAATAAATTATGTTGAAGTCGCACAAAATACAGTGTTTTATTCAGGTCACCCATGTTCAAAAATGATGACTCCAACTAGTGAAAGGAAGGTTTCTGAAATGATCTTTGTGTATTTGGCTGCAAAGCCAGTGCATTAGGATCATACAGGTTTATAATACACATTTATCTGTTAATCTAAACAAAGAATACCATGTCTGTGTGAAGGGAAAGCAAAAACAAGATTTTCTTTTCACTTCTGATTGGGTGTGCAAGTTTTGGATCCAAGTTTTGCTTTGCTTCAGTTACCAGCCATGAACACACAAGAACTGTGACGGCAGCTGACATTTGGAAACCCAGCTGGCTGTGGATCTGGTGCCTCATTCAGGCCACTTCTGTGTAGTATCGTTTTGGGGACAGGCTTGGAGCTCTTTTCTGCTTTTGGAAACGAAGCCCAGGTGAGGTTTTTCGTGTTGCAGACGTGTAGCAGAGCTGTGGTTTTGAGCTGTCCTCTCTTTATGACAGGCTCTTCCTGGGAGGAAAGGAAACTTCTGGTGTATAAATTATCCTGGCAGCAATTCTTGTTCGTGGTGACAGGGCAGGAGCTGCCGAGAGCACCGCCTTCCCGAGAGCTTGATGTCTCCAGGGAAAGGGATAGCTCTTATCACCGGACACTCGTGCACCGAGCCAAGACGAGGAGAAAAGATGAGAGGGGTTCTTTGTATGGAATTCCTAGGGAGTTTATTATCCACGCCTTGAAGGAGAACAGGGACAAAGAACCTAAAACATAGGAGGGTCCAGGGATTTATACAGCCAGGGATGGGCGGAGCATCAGGACTGCGGGCCGATGGGCTGAGGGCAAAGGCAGGGCCAAGGGATAACAACCAACCAGGCTTCAGGGGTGGAGCAACAGGGAACAGGAACCAATGGGGGAGTCCAGAGCAAGGAATATTCTGGAACTGGGGTGGGGAGCAGGGATGAAATAAATTTTGGGCAGGGACAAGGAATGACATAAGCAGAATGATGTAACTTGGAAATGGGTACACAGAAACAACAAGGGGCTGTGGGAGAGTGTTCCTAAGCATGGGTCTCATCCCATGGTTTGCCACTGATAGCTTCCCCTACCAACTCTTGGGATGCAACACTTGTTGTCTAATTGTTTCCAGGGGCCTGAACTTCATTAGGAACTTCCTTAAGAAAATGCTTTATTGTGTATCTCTGCTCTTTAGCATTTGAAAAGGCAATTCCGACAGTGCCGGGGGAAAAGACACAAATACTTCCAAGCCCGTTTGAGTTTTGATCTTTTCTATGAGATGAGGAGGGCGATGCCTCCCTTGAGAAGTGAGAAGTTCACCTGCCTGTCAGGAGTGGAATGGCTGGACCTGTGAGTGGACTGCTAATGACAGGAAGGTCCTTCCATCCCTGGGATTGTTTCTCTGCTTTTGGGAAGCACATCCATGGATTTCATAAATGTCTGTGTGCCCCTGTGCCTGCACAATCTGTGCCACTGTGCCTTCAGGAGTGCTGCCACACGGAATCAAAACCTTCCTGTCCCACAGTGAAGTCAAATGCTGCGTCCTTTTGCATTGAAAACATTTGGAATCCCCTGGAATCCACACTCACATTCTGTGCTATCCTCAGAGATAGTCCCACCTTCCTCCAGGTGTCCCTGGGGCCGTCAGAGGTGGCTGCTCATGCTGAGTCCCCATGCCCGTGCCCAGTGCTCCAGCTCCCTGGGGAGGTGAGGGTGTGCAGAGTATCTGGCAGAAGCACCAGGCATTTATATTTCTGATTTTAGGGCTATAACTTTTTGTAGGCCAAATGAGGACTCTTCATTTAAGAGGATTTATTAAGAGCCAATTTGAAAAAAAAAATAAAAAATTAGTTACAATCCCCTATAATCTTGTTAGGGTATGAAAGTATTTTTGTCCACAGAGAGAATCCATCTGAAGTTTTTGTGAATGAGAGAGGCTTTGTCTCCTCTCAGTGGAAAGGGATTTCTGGACCCAAACAGCCATTTCTTGGTTCCCAAACAGCCCCTCTCTCCTCACCTCTCCCCTGAAAGCCTTTTTCTCTGGATCAGCTTTCTTTGGAGCCCTTGACTTCTCCACTGAGTTCCATGGGGCTGTGTCTGATTATTCAGGGAGGACAAGGGCTGAGAGGAGATTACTGCTTTCCTTGTGGCTCAGAATAAAAACTGCAAGTTGGAGATAAAAGTGCAGATCAAACACATGACCTGCTGAGAGCAAATTCAGGCAGAAGATGCCAGTATCTTTTCTAGACACTTTTTAGGAGTTACAGTCATTTATTGCTGTCAGTGACCTGTTCTTGACCTAGAAAAGCGGTTTTCTCAAGCACTGCTTCCATCTCCAGTGCTGAAAAAACTGCCCACCTCGCATTGCAAATGGACAGCTTCTCATTTAAAACCTCTCACCTTGATTAATTCTGTTCTTTTGTACTTTCAAATAGGTTGGTGAGAGCAGACTAACCAAAATACAGCTTTGTAATTTGGATGTGAGTCACTGGTAATTAATGAATTCTACAAATAAGCAAGAAGGAGGATGAAAAATTCACAAAATTTATTCTCACATCAAGGAATATTGTTGGCAAAAAAGAATTAAAGAAAAACTTCTCTCAAATCAGGAGCTATTGTTGCCTGAAGGCCAAAATATTCCTCTTACCTACTTTACTCTGCAGAATTGGCTGTCAAAGCCTTCTGAGTATTTCCACATAGGAGGACTCAGAGTTTCCTCCTGTCCATATTTTTTCCTGCTGCACATTTATCGTGATTTTGCCTAATGGGGTTTTGCCTCTTCCAAATAAAAAATCCCATTTCCTCAGATTATTCTGCAGGCAGATAAAGTCTTGTCATTTAGGAAATTCTTCTCCTAAATTGTACTTTTCCCATTTTATCAGGAAATCATCTCTCCTCCCACCTGTTCTCACGAAGAACCTCCCCCTTTGCCGTTTCCCCCATTCAGAATTTCACCCAGTGATTGCTTATTTTCCCACTAGGTGTCATCCAAGTTATTTTATTCCCCAATGTTGAGCATCCCCCGAATCGGCTCTCGAGCTGTAATTTCTCGATTCAAAAGAATTACCTGAAAGAACAAAATACTGATTTATTTTTAGGAAATTATTTTCTGTTGTCTCCAAGATACAAATAAATCCGAGGTACAAAATGTGTAATTAAGGGGTCTGTCTAAATCAGAGGCCTTAACCCACATGTTTGTGTTTTATGGAACTCAGAGGGTTCATGAAAATATTCATGGTCAATTTGGATTTAGACAGCTCTGGGCTGGGCAAACTGGAGGCTCTGTGCCCACCTCTGCCTTGCTTGCTTTGCTCTAATAAAAAACAGGTCTTTTTCTAGCTCTTTATGCACAGTCACTGTCATTGAAAATACAATCCAGTGCTGCAGGCAGGCACAACACAACACTGCATTTATGGGAATGTTTTATTTAGGATTGGGATTGAGCTGTCAGAGCAGATCTCCTGCTCTCTATTTTCTGTGTGTGCCTTTTATATTAAATTAAATTGCAGTATTCACTCTGGAAATACCTGGGATTTGTGCTAATGGGGGTTCAGTGCTTGGACCAGGCTAAAGATAGTCCAAATCCTCTCCTGGTATAAATGGTGGCATGTGGTATCCTCAGTTCCAGATTATTTCACTGCTCTGCTCCAGCTGTTTGGGCTGTTGAATTCCCAGTGTGACAAAGAGCTATCCATGAATGACCTTGTTCCACTGCTCTGCTAACTCTTTAGGCAAGCCTGCTAAAAGTGTTTAAGCATGAATCTTTACCAGTTTATTGCAGAACAGCTGTAGTAGGGTTGTGAAAGGCGTGAGATTGTTCAGCACTCAGAGTGTTGTGGTGTGGTCCTTGCTTAAGGGAGTGGTGACAAATAAGATCAGCTAAAATCATTAGCTGATTTTCTGCCTTGAAGAGTTGGAAATGTGGAAGGCAGGACACTGAACTTTATGGCCACACTGAGCAGCTGTTCTTGGAGAGATGAGTTAGATATTAATTAGTGTCTGATGTCAAAGACTACATTGGGAAAGCCCAGGTGATGAGTTTACTGTGGGAACTCATTGCGGAAGTTCACTCACTGTCCATAATTGATACAATGGGTTTTTTTATACTGTCCTTTACAAAGCTATGACTTCATGGGTTTTGAAGTAAACCAGTTGACTCTTGGTATCTATGCAGTGATGAATTAATTTTCTCCAGTGAGAGCAGCTCCAGTGCCATTGCTCCTGCCCCACTAACGCTGGGTTTACACACTGATGTGGGACCCACCCTTGCAGATGTGCCCAGCTGTTTGCACAGTGAACTGCAGGAGAGTTTGCCCAGACTCCTGATCACCCATGAAGAGCCCCAGAAAGTCCCTGCAGACAGGTCTGATCCTGTTCTGCTGAGTTTCTGCTGCCAGCAGCTGGATTGTCGGGAATGTTTCACCCAGGAGGAGATGTTAGAGGGCAGAGCTGCCCTGGGGTTGGGAGGTCAGTCCTGAGCATTCTCCAACTCTGCAACCACACAGTGTTTGCTGCAGGATGTGAGATAACATTATTGCCAGCCCTAGTTTCCAGTTCTTGCATTGCATCCTCAAACCCTGATATTTGCATTTCAAAGCAATGTAGGATATTATTTCTTTTTAATTTTTTTTAACAGGCTTAATATTTTGACCCATCCTGGTCCTTAAGGCTGCAGATTGCTAATGAAAGATAATCAAGTGCCTTGGGTTCTTAAATAATTCCTTTATATAGTGTGACCTGTGATAAAATCTCAAGAGCTGAAAATGCTGTTGTGTTAATCCTATAATTTCCTATCACTGAATGCTGATATACCAACAATTTGGAAAGTCAGCTTGATCAAGTTGCTAGCTGAATTAATCACATGGTCACTTACAGCAGGGTGTAAAAAAGCAGCAGTTCCTCTGAGGAGAGCTGTACATTCATTAGAAGATGCTGCAAGCCTCTTCCTGCATTTTCTAATTATCTCTTTGCCCTCATTTGGTGTCTCTAGCCCAGTGTTGATGACTGCATTCAGTGAAACTTCCTGCATTTGGTGGAGCTGGTTGGAGGTTATTTACAATTTATTTCCTCATCAGTTTTGATAAATGCAGGCACAGCACAGCCACAGCATCTCTGTCTCTGACAGGGAAACCAGAGCCTGCAATGAGAGACGGAGAGCTCCCTGTCCTCTCCTATCAGCAGCTCTGAAATCACTCAGTGTTTGCCTCCTGCCTTGGCCATTTCTGCACCTTCAGCTGCTCCAGCTGGAGGGCACTGCTCAGGGTTTATGACTAGAGAAAATCTGTCAGCTTTGCTTTACAATTTTTTTAATGAGGAGTCATCCTGTGAACTGCTCTGAAATAAGAGGTGTCTTCAGATAAGAAGGATGAGGAAAGAGAAATCCCTGGGAATCCCTCTCCCATTAGGTATTGCTCACTGCCTCCCTTCAGTGGCACTTTATGCTGTTTTAAGGACCTTTCATTGTGATCTAAGCGTGTTTCTGAGATCAGAGTGCTTTGCCTGAGCTCTTGCTTCCATGATTTGCTTTTTGCCTTTATTCATCATCTCCATTACTTTGGATGTTCCAATTTGTTTCCTAGTGAATGCAATTATTTTTCCTTTTCTTCTCCTTCAAACTCTGTGGCATTTCTGATTAATCTCTATGAATAAAACCAGACTTGGAGCAGGGAGATCCTCTTTGCAGAATACAGGGCCAGTTACCTCTGTGCTGCCTCCAGTCCCACCACTGCTGCAGCTGAACAGAGCTTTTGCTACAAATGTCTGGCTCGTGGGAAAAACACACCAAAATCCCATCAGTTCTACTCATAGTATATTATGCTCTGGTATTTTGTTAGTAATATATTTAGCATTAAAAGACAGTTTTCTTTCTTAGAGGGTGAATATTATTCTATGTATATATGTCCTGTCTAATGTATCTATAAGAAAAATGTTCATTAACAATATATATCTATTCTTAAAATCTTTCTCTGCTAAACCACAAAAAAAAAAACCCAAAATACAAAAAGAACCCCAATGAGGTAAATCACCATAGAGTAGAGTTTGTTTCCCTGTTTGCATAATCCCTTTTTTTTTTTTTTCTCCTTTAAAATGAAATGAAAATAATACAAATTCTTGTTCCCAGTGTGGCTCAAATGTGCCACAATTTTTAATGGAGGTGTGTGTGAGCTGCACGGTGTGTTCTGAATGGAAAGGAATGGAAATCTTATTCCCCATCTTGCCTTGTGGACCTTATTCCTGTATGAAAACCATTTCCTGGGAAAAATTCATACATGTACAGTGGAATGCTCTTACTTCATCGCTGGCATTATCTCAGGCAGATAATTTCACATTCTTAACAGATCCACAGTGCATCTTTTCAATAACACAGATTCAGCTGGCTCTTTTAGGAATTCTGCCTCTGTTTGGCAGGTGAATGACACAGCAAAAGCACCTTGGAAGAAACCTATTTTTTTTTTACTGTTGCCCCAGGAATTATTTTGTTGCAGATTAAAACATTCCATGGCACCACGATTAGGCCCAGCTCTTTTACATTAACTGGCCTGCATGTGGGGGCTAATTTTGTGTCTGTGCAGCTGCACTGAGGGAAATTAAACTTGAGAACTCACTTGTGCACTGCATGGGTTGTTTGCTAACACAGAACGACAGCAAAGTGAATTTTTCAGCCCTTCCTTTCCCTGAGACCTTGGGAACAAGAGTGCTTTGGATCTTCTTCAAGCATTTAAATTTAACTTTTTATGTAAAATCTGACTGTTGACAGGAAAGGCTGCTTCATATTCCTAAGGCATCTCTATAATTTCCAGTATAAAATTCAGCAGAGCAATAAAAAAATCTAGCTTCAGAGTTAAATAAAGTGAATAATGGAGTGAGAAACACAGAGCCCTTAAAACCTGCACTGCTGGCACACACTCCTGGGTGTGTTCATCATTCATTTTGTCACTTGTAGGGTAAGGGATAACAAATCCAGGGGTAACACTTGGCTTTGGAGTGGGGCTTCCACAGAGGCTGCAGACTGTGGCCAGCCCCTGCATCCCCAGGGCTGTAAATGGCACCAGGTGAGGGTGCTGGGCACAGTTTGGTGCCAGCCCAGTCCCAGGGCAGCCCAGGGCTGGGGTTTGCAGTCCAGCTAAGGCAGGGCTGTGCTCAGCCCAGGGCTGCTGCTCTTCCCTGGGGTCACTCCTCGCTCCTGGCCAGTCCAGGCCTGGCTGGGCTGGACAAATGTCCTTCATTCCTGCTTCCAGCTGTCCTGGGGCTGGCTGGGCTCAGCAGGAGATGACCAGGGGGTTGGACAGGGACCGTGGGCTCTGTGCCTGCTCCAGGGGCTGCTTGTGCAACAGTTCACAGGCGGCCAGCTCCTGCTGAAGGGTGTTCAGCACTTCCAACAGCTGGGCTTTGCCTTGGGGAAGAAAATTGCAAACATTAGCATTTGAACAAAGTAAGGAAGTTGCAGTTTCACAATCACAAAAGGCTCTTTTCTTCATAGGTGCCCTTTCAATAAAATGTCTAAATTCGTGACCAAATAATGAATTCCTGTCCATGAAAAACATGAGCAAACCTGGGTTCAGCTGTCTTCTCTGTTCCTCTCTTGCTTCAGACCCTGCCCCCTGAGGTCTCACGTTCTTGTGTGAACAAAGACTATTTCATATCACCATTGCCAACCCAGCCACCCACTTTGGCTTGTCAGAGAAAAACGTTTGAGTACAAAGACTGGGGAAAGCTGCTGGACCCACCCCAGGTGCTCAGCCAGAGAGTGGAAGGCAGAGAGGCTGAGCTGGGTATGGCAGGGCTGATGCAGAATGGACAGAGAGCAGCACCTGCTGGAGCTTCAGGGAGCTGAGCTGTGCTGCTGTTAGAAAGGGAGGAGCTCTGAGCAGCATCCCTGGGAGTCCCTGTTCCTGTGCAGGATAACTGGCAGCACCTTCTGGACACTGCACTGTGGGTCCAAGCAATCTCCTCTTCTGTTCTCCCAGGAGAACATCAAACCCATGGCTCAGCTGTGGTTTCTCTCTGTATTGGTGTCCTGGAGCCCACAAAAGTGTGTCTTTGCCCACAAAAGTGTGTCTTTGCCCACAAAAGTGTGTCTTTGCCCTCTTTCCTCGGCTCCCTCTGCAGCTGAAGAGCACAGCTTGGCTCTGGGCTGCCTGTGCCCTGGATTGCTGGGCACAAGGAAAATCAGGCTTTGAAACTGCAAACCCCAGAAGGCTTCTCATGCTATTCTCCCTAAATCCCTGTAAATAATATTCTCCAAAACCGAGCCCCCAGGCCACATTTGTTCTTTCCTAACCTTGTCTTTGCCTGCTGCCTGCCCATTAAAAGCACCTCCAAGCCGTGTTCCCGGGACAGGATGTTCATTTCTTGGAGGGAAGTACAAATTCTCTGCTAATAGGAATAAAGGCATCAAACCAAAGCCCTGGGGCTGTGGTCCCTGCACGGTTCCTGCAGAGGTAGCTCCAGACCATTAGCCAGGGACAGGGATTTGCAAGTTTAATTTTCACACAAGGATCAGGAAATGTTGTTATCAGAGGAGTGCAGGTTTGATCTGGTTTCTGTACAGAACTGTTCTGATGGGTAAATTTTGTGTTGCAGCAGAGGAACACAGCACACTGGGCTAGCAAACCTGAGAAACAGCTGCATTACATACTTGGTCATTTTTTCACTTTCCTGTATCAATGAAACCCTAAAAACATTTGTAGCATGCTGAATTACCAGCCAGAGGCCAAGTTTTAATTAAAACCTGACTAAAAAAGCACCCTGGATGTGGTTTTTTGATGTGTCACAGACTAGAAAGCATCACTTTCTATAGGTAATCTTCTTGCAAACTACCTCCTTCTCCCCAGGCTGTACCCCAGGAGTTGAAATTTCCTTTTCCTATCCATCTGTGCATTACCCAGAGTTTGTCCCAAAAGGACACATTTTCATGCTTCTTGGTCTTTAGATGTGATTTCTTTTCTTACCAGGTTGGGGGTCACGGCAGGATTCCAAAGTGCTCAGCAGGATTTTCCCCAAGGCTCGTTTAGATATGTTCTTTAAAAAATAAAACAACAATATGGCATAAATCTGTCCTTCCCCAGTTTACAGATATGCAACAGAACCTGTGTGCAGGGTATTTGCATTTGGAAACTAAACCAAAATGACACTGAATCCTGATTAACACAAGACTTGATATTTGCCTTATCTTCAATAAGGCAAATTCATCTTAGACCCTGCTCAGAGAGCAGTTTGTAGGGGGTTGTAAAACCTACAGCCCCTAATTCCGGGGAGCTGGACCTGGTGGAGTTATTTTAGGAAAGGTCTTCTCAGAGTCAGCTGAAGCACAGAGCAAATGTCCTGGGGCAGGGCTGGATCTGAGATGTAACAAACATTAGCCAAAGTGAGAGCACTGTAAAAACTACTCAGGGTTTGGATGGTCTCTCTCAGTGGTGGTTTTACACAAGAAATCTGGTGGGACATTACATAATGTGCCTGGAAAAGCAAACTCTCCTAATCTGCTGTCAGGACACTCCCGTGCTTTCTGGGAGATGGTCTTGCCTCAGCTGAATTAGCACCTTGGGAGCCCCTGTCTGCAGGGACAGGCTGTTCTTGCTAAGACTTCAGGAAGTGGAAGGGAGCAGTTCTGGGAGGAAGATGCTGTCACCCCTCCAGGCAGAGCTGCCCTGCTCCCTGGCACTGCAGCCTCTTCCATCTGCTTGGCTGCCCCAGTGGGGACTGGGGCAGAGTGAGGAGCAGTTTGAGGATTTCTCATGGCCTCAGCAGCACAGTGTGAGGTTTTATTAGCCCTGACAGGATGTGTGTGTGCCTTTGGACAGTCACTGCTTGGTGGTAGGTTCTGTTGTGAATGAAATATTTCAGACATGAAGGTGAACGTTCTGCAGAAGTGACACCTAAACCCCCAGGTTCTGATGGGTGAGGTTTCTTTTCTCTTGGGCACAGCCCATCAGAGATTTAGGGGATTCTTGCTAAACACTCCTGGGAGTTTTATCTCTTTAATACTGACTCAGAATTATGTAAGCATGCAGTTAAACAAAGGTCCTGTTCTAGAAGGAAAAATACACGTTCTGGAATCTTCCTGATTACTCCTTTGTTTTCCTCATTTGCCCTCACTTTTGGTTTAGAGGGTAATGAGCTTGAAGCCTCAGCTCCAAGGAGATCTCTAGGCTTTTAGAAAGCCAGCCAAAGGAGTCTAAAGGCTTTCTGCAAGCACCAGCCAGTTCCCAGGTCACACATATGTAAAATTCTGTCCTGCTGTGAAGAATTTTGTACTTTGTAGAAGAGATGACCACATTCTTAGTTTGGAAAGGGCTACAAAAGCCAGTTTTCAGTCCCAGGACTGCTTTCTCACCATACCAGGTCTCGGAGTTGTTGGAGAAGCTGCAGAACATCCATGAGCTTCTCTTCCACCAGGGACAGCCGAACCCTCTCTGTCTCCAACATCTGCAGCTCCATCTTCAGCCCTTCTGCCTCCTCCACCTTCTGCTGCAGCTCCCCGAGCAAGGGGCCTTTCATCTGCACCAAACACAGCAAAATGAAGGCACTGGAGCTTTTCCTTTCTTGCCCAAGGATTGCAAAGCTGAGTTTTCCCCCTTTTGTGGTTTAATGTGCTCCATAAAGTGAGATATCAGGAGTTGTTAGGAAGTCAGTGCTTTGCTCTTGTGCACAAGGGGAGTTCATTCATCACTGGGCGCAGGCAGGTCACTCAGGAATTTTAAATACTAAATTTTTTATATATTTTATACTTAAATATTTATCATTGCTATGACAGCTTTCTCCCCTTTTGCATTCCTGTTGTCCTCTATAAAGCAAAACTAGTTTGTGTGCCCTCCCCATGATCATCTCTTCACCTTGCAGCTCCTACGGAGCAATCGTCTGTACATTCAGTGAGACAAGATGTGTCAGTCCTGGTGCAGTGGGAACCTCAAGGAACTCCAAGAGCAACAACCTCTCCACTGTTTCTCCTTCCTTTTCTCCAGGGGATGAACTTCTCCTTTTACCCTGTATGGCAGTTCATAAACTAATTGCCTTTTTAATGAAGCTGGCAGCTTGCATGCAGGCTCGTATAGAAAATAATTGGCATTTCTTTGTAACACTACACTCAGCAGCACAACACTTTATTTTTAGACTTCACTCATGTTCTCCCCATCTATCATCCCCAGGTCACCACCCTGTCTTCAGGAGAAGCTGTTTTTAAGTCTTGGGCTGTTGGAAAGTAGAACTTTGTAGAGATGACAAATCTCAGAACTCCCTCATCCTCTGGTTTTACAAATCTCAGGCTGGAGCAATTATTAATGAGTATTGAGAGTGCTGCCCCTCACTTGCCTGCTGAGTCTCTTGCTTGTTAGCCTCGTTGTTATTTGATTTTCCACACTGAGCAGCCACAAACAGAAGCATATACAGCAGTGGCACTCCTGTCAGCTTCAGAGAAAGTGTTGGTGGTTTATTTATTAAGCCAATGTATTTATTTGCCAGGTGCTTGAGAGAGAGCATTTCTCAGTCTTCCTATTTGCTTTCTGTTGATGGCAAGGAGAGTCACCTTTTTGACAGGGATTTTTTATTACTTGTCTGTTTTGTAGCAGCAAATTCCTCCCCTAAAACTGCTGGCTAATATAAAAGGGCTTAAGAATAAATTTCCTAACAGGAATCAAAATGATTCATCCTATTGCTATTTAATTCATGTCACAGTGAGTTGGCACTACGGCTCCTTCACCTCTCTGCTTGCCTCTAAATCAAGAGTAACAGGTTCCGTTTTCCCTCTGGAATTTTGTATTAATCTGTTGATAATGGTGCTTTTCCAGACAAAACAGAACTAATATCCACCAGCAGAGATGAAAAAGAGGGGAGAATGATGCTGCAGAAGAAGATGAGCACCTCAGAATGGGGAAAAAAATGAGAAGAAAACTGGCACTACCTGCAGGTAGTTTTTTCCTGTGATCTGATGCCAAGCAGTAGAGAAGGAATTTTCATGTTTCTGTAAAGACTATTGCAAGGATAAATGGCCATTGAATACTGAAAATTGTGTAAGGCAGAAATAGGATTTTACTCTGGTTTTAATTTTTTTTCTCCCCTAGCAAGTAAACTTCTTAATTTAATTTAGTCAAGGGAGAAAATGATATGAAACACTGTTAAAACACAAAGGATGGCAACATGTAAAGAAGCTAAATATTTTACCCTTACTTTAAATATTTCACTGATTCACATAATCCTTCCAGAACTACTGGAAGTTTTCTGCTCTGTTTAAAGAATGACCAGGGCAATGCACTATTTTTGTTTCATAGGAAGATTGCTGGAACTTCAATCTATACCCATCAGGGGCTGAAGTCTGCAGAATTTAAATAGTGAGATCACACAGGACTGCTGGGATACAGCACTGGGGCTTTAAATAATGTGGTTGTAACCTCTGCTCAAGGGATTTGGACACACTGCTAACCTGAGAACTAATTTTATTCCCATTTTATTATATTATTGATATATTAGATTTATATTTATGATATAAATATATCAGCCTGAGCCCAAGAAAAACATATAGTAAATAGGATAATTGACTCCAAAACAGGGAGTCTCAGCCAGCCTGAGGGATTTATTGAAAAGTTATTCTGCTTCCAGAGGTGTTGGATGCCTTAGGATATGGGGAGTGTTTTATCCACCTCTGGGGAATCTCAGTAAATCAAGGACAGTATTTGAAGGGCCTGGGGTATATCTCATCCTCCAAAGGCAGTTTTGGGTAGGAACCAGAGTAGAAATGCAGGTGTTGGAGGAAAGCAGGAGATGTCTGAGCTGACAAACTACAGCACAACAAGAAACATCAACAACAGAGAGCAGAATGGCCAGAATGAAATACAAACATATATAGATGCAGCTTCCCAAAGATGCACAAACAACTCTTTCACACTCTGTTTGGCACCTGTTACCTCTTCCATGTTTGTTTCCAGTTTTTTCTCTTGGTGGCCCTTGAGTTCTGGCTGCTCTGTGAGGGGGGAGATTCTCCCTGGGAGCTCCACAGGGTCCTTCCCGTCGGTGCTGGTGCTCTCCAGGTGGGACAGCAGATTTCTCCACATCTTTCCGTCACATCTACACACATCATTAAGAGAAAAGAGTTAGTGAGACCTCCCAGCAGAGGTCTGTGTTCGTAAAAACCAGATTTCCTGTGGAATTCTTGGCAGCACAAGTCACAAATGAGTATCTTTGCTGACACTAATTAGGGCTTGGTGGGAATATCCAGCAGGCTGCTCCCCATGTGCCACAAAGGATGGGCAAAAGGCTCCTGACTGCAGCCACTTGTTGTGAAATCATCTTTGCAAAGGGCTCAAAGTACATTAATTAATGAATTCAACTTACCCACTGCCACAGCAAGGGAGTTTGGCCAGGATCTTCTTCCCGTGCTCCAGCTGGGGATCCCGCTCTCCTGCCCACTTCTCCTCCTCCTCGTCCGAGGCAGCCCGGCCCTCCACGGAGCGGAAGAGCTGATCCTCTGCGGGGAACAGGGACCCCTCAGCTGCTCCCCTACACCCCCAGCTAAACCCTGAGCCAGAGAGAAGGGAGAGCTCAACCCCCCAGAGAAACACCAGCCCTGGGAGGGGCTGCAGCCAGGATCCTTATTTTAGGAGTCTGGAACATTTCAGTGCTCTCTTGTGGGTAACTTGGAGCTGTTTCACCTCAACTCCCTTCTTTCCCTGAGTTACCCTAAGGTAAGGATAAGTCTGAAGGATCAGTTGTTGTAGGGGGCAATTACTGTTTGAGTACACAGTTTTTTTCTACCTGTTCATCTCTCTGAGTTAGATTTTTCTGCCTCACTAATCCTGTTTTACTTGATGGAACATTTTTTCCCTGTTTCAGAATCTATAACCTCATGATTTCTTTGTATGAAAACATATTATGCTAAAAAGATGTTTGAAATATGGGTGATGTTATTTTATGTGGAAACTGAGCAGGCAAAATGTGTTATTGGATAAAAACATTTGTAAAAGCAGGTTTACTTTCTAAGTCTAGCCAGATGAAGAACATGCTTCAGTGTTAATTGTATTTACATATCACTGTTTTTAACATTCCCAAGAAGCTGCTTGCCAGCTCCATTCAACACACACCTAAAATCCAATTTTTTATCACAACAAACAGCTCTCCAGTCTGCAGTAAAGGTGTCTTGTAACTCAGTTATTGTCAGATAAGTGCTTCTGTGGTCTTTGAACTGGATGTGCCCAAAAAAATAAATCACTGCAGGGAAAATGTGCAATGTTATGGCAGTTGTTGGTGCTACATGTGCTAAACAGTTTGGGCTTGTCCAGAGTCACTGGAGCAGCCAGGATGTTTCCAAGGAGCGTGGCTGTACAGAATATTAACTGCAAATTGTTTCCTTGGAAATTATTTTTGCTGAGGTTCTGTATTTTTATTTACGAAGAAATGAAATCTTTATACTTTCTAAGCCAGGAAAAAAAGTTTTGGTGGGATGACTCATGTGGAAAAAAGCTGTTTTAAACCATAGCTCTAAGTGATAAGTTCAGTCTTTCATTAAACACAAAATTACGTGGGGAGCGAGAAGTGGAAATCTGGGCTATGAGGTTTTATGGAGGTCTGGGATTTCAAGAATCTCCAGGACTGGTTTGTGGTGTGGTGGTTTAACCTCTGGTTAGTTTTGCTGCTGCTGGCACCCCAGCTGAGTGTGGCAGGGCTGGGTTTGGGGTTTGGGGTTTGGGGTTTGGGGTGGGTACCGTGCTCGGCGGTGCCGGCCGGGGAGCGGCGATCCCTCTGCTCGGGGCTGTGCTGCTGGCCACGCTGCCATCGCTCCGCTGCCCACCTGAAAAAGAGACCAGGCTGAGGCTGAGTGCAGGAGATTTGGAAAACCAAGATGTGCCCAGCAGGGCTTTGGTGGGATGCAGCTGCTGGGACTCGCTGAAGAACGGGGCCATCGACCTGAGCCCCAAGCCTGAGGTGACTTCCCTGACAGCCACAGGGAGGTGGGTTCCAGCTGCCCTTTGATAAGAAGAGCTGAGCTGTACCCATAACTTTGGGGTCAGGTCAAAGACCTCTAGAAAACATATATGGAGTAGTCTGCTCTGGCCACAGGCACCTGCAGCCATTCCCGTGGGCTCAGAAATGTCTGGGAGTTTGAGCCATATCTTCTGAGTGCTGGGGTGAAGCAGAGTCAGAGCCTGAGCAGGCAAAAAAAATGAGCCAGAAATGGTGGCACACCTGGGAACCAGGGTGAAAAGCATCTCAGAATGGGTGTCAGCAGTGCTGAGAACCTCCTTTGGAATTGTCTTTGTCTGAGATCAACGAGGGCATATCACATTTATGTGTTTAAAGGAATGGCTTTTGCAGGATGGGACACAGATCAAATAATGTAACTGAGGGACAGGAGTCCTCAAAGTTGCCCAGTTCCCTACAGGTTCTTCTATAGATTAGTTTTGTTCTGGTGAATATTGCATATTTCCTTTATTCAACACATTAAATAGCAAAAAATGAGAGCCAAAGCGCTCAGCAGATGGGTCCTGCTGACACAAATTGTGTAACGTGAGTTTTCTGTACAAATCTTGTGCTTCCTGCCTTTAAATTCAGCCGCAGCTGGGAGGGGACTTTGGCTGCAGGGACAGAGCAGCTGAGGCCACGCTGGACACCACAATTGCAGAGGCTTTGTTTAACTCAGCTGCTCCTGGGGAGCCACACCAATGGGAGTTCCCTCATTGCCTGTGAAACTGGAAGGAGTAAACAGGATCATGGCTTTAACAACAGAAGTCACTATTTGAAAACATCTGTAGGGGAAAAGCTGAGCTAAACCTTACTGAGAAGCCAGCTCTTACTTTACCCCCTTGAGTAAGGCTGACTGCATTAAAAACCAATGTCTTGCTTAATTTGCAATTTATGGCGTTATTCAGCTTAGCAAAACTGGATTTCCTGTGAAGCCAAGGGACACAGCAATCCCCAGGAAGGAGCCTGGACAATCATCAGTTCTGGAAAAAATCCTTCTGGAGCGGCGCACAAACAAAACGCACTGTAAAGCCTGGACATTGAGAGTGGGGGCTCTGAGAAGCATCACAGAGCTTCAGAGTCCTGCACAGCTGCTGGGGGATAGTCCTTTCACAGGGATACTGCATTTTACTTCCCTGCAATGTGCTGATTTTCTGGTACCTCTACAGGAATCCTTTACAATTCCTTGAGCACCGCAGCTGGTGTCTGAGCAGACTGTTCTCAGTTTTGAGCTGCAGTATAATTTAGATTGTTTGGGTTTCAGATTCTAGGGTTAGTTCACATAACACAGATGCTGATATTTCAATGAATATTTATTGCAGTGGATAAGAACTTACCCTATAAAACATGGAGAATTTTCAAGTATCATGAAAATCCTTTCCAGCAGGTGTGGGTGAAGCGGATTTGAGGAAGAGCTGGAAGCAGGAATCTTCACTGCTTCTCAAACACAGGTTTAATTCTTCCCTCATTGCTATTCATACAGCACCAAATGGGTCCCCATAAATGAGAAGAAGAGTGAATAAACAGCACATTTGTTTGGGGCAGAGATCAGAGGGGGAAGCGGTGCTGGAGGTGCCTGGGAAGGTTTGTGTGGGGTGAGCGTGGCAAGGCTTCCATGGAGACAGGGAAACAGCCCCCATTCATCCCAGAGCCTTTATCCCCAGCATAATGGACAGCAACACACAAGAGGGGAGAGTTTGCAAAGTACTGGGCCTTCAAGTAATGTCCATGACTAATTGGCTTTTAATTGGCTCTGTGGTATTGTTATGGAAACATCGAGCTGCAGGAAAACCCACCTGCTTCTGGTGCCGAGCAGATCTTGGGCTTAAATAATTCCTGACTGATCAGAAAATAACTCTGAGGAATAATTAACTTGTCATTCACAGACCTTTAGCTCGTCTCTTTTAGAGACTTCCTTGGAGCAGATCAAACTGCCCTGAGCACAGTTATACTCAGAGCCACACTTTATTTTCAAAGTGTAGGACTTGTGGCTTTTAATCAAAATGAGGTGTGATTTTTATTTTTGTACTATTTTACCTAAACTGTCAGAGTTCAGGGAACTCAGAATGGTTTCAGATTTGGCTTATTCCCTGTGGGAATCAGAGACTTTAGGTGTGCACATTTTTGAATTATTTATGACTTTTTGTTGACTGTTGAGATTATGTTTTCACACTGGAGCTGAGTGTCTCTGTGGATTTTCTGAATACAGAAATTGTCTCTGGTTGGTGCTGTGAGCTCCTCTCCAACAGAAATCCTACGAAGGAACTTTCTGTGATCGATCCAAATGCTTAATCTCAGCTTTTAAATAGCTTGATCTGTCAGGTACTGAAGATAAATGTTTAAAAGCATGAATTTTTAGTGGCTATAATAAAGGTCACTAAATATCCTGTCTTTATATGGGTAGTTATAAAGTATATTATAACTCCAACTATAATGGTTGCAGTCCTGGGAGGTTTCCTGTTACTGGCTGATGGTTTTCATTTTCTTGCCAAAATCACCAGCCTCTAGAAAAAAATCATTTAAGTGATGGCCATGTGTTTTCTTGCAAACCTTTCCATCTCCCTGCATGCTGGATGCAAGCAGGAAAATCCTGGAATGTCACACACAGCAGGATTGTTCTTCCTGTGGTGACTTGGAGCACTTTGGAGAGGGCACAAACCCTTGTGCACACGTTTTGAAATTGCATTGTTTGAGATCTGCTTTTAGCCCAGGCCGTGAGGAACAGCAGCAGAGGCATGTGGAAGCAAACACAGGCACACCCCCACATGCCCATGACAGAATTGCCTGCATACATTCTGTTTGTCCTTCCTGCTTTTCAAACTCAGATTTGGAGAATTCTGTCTCTTCTGGTGTCCTGACTTGGATTTTACAGAGAGATGCTTGAGAGCCTGTTGCTAAAGGACGTGAAATGATTCACACGAATGTCTCTCAGTGTTAGAACAGGAAAAAGCTGCTTTTCTCTCTGACTCCAGTATTTATAGATCCTCCACAATCACCAGGGGTTGGATAATTAAGTTACCACCTTCCCAAGCGCCCTGGTCATGCAAAACATCCATCAAAAGACGTTTCTTAGAAGGAATGTGATAACCCACGTTTATAGAACTTTCATGGGAAAGTAACTACAACTATGAAAACACTATCAGAAGGCTGTAAGTCTCAGGGCGACAAGAGCCTACAATCAAAAATTAGTAACTCAAATACTGTGGTGTTCTGAGCACTGACAGCTCTACCCAAAGCACTGGGCATAAATCATAGAGGCCAGAGAAAGCAGAGCTGTGCTCCTGTGGATCATTTCCTTCTGCCATTGCCTGTGTAACAACCCTCACCTTCATGTGTTCCTTCACGTAGACATGTGCTGTTTAATCCCCAGCAATCCTTCCCTTATCTCCTGGGAGCTGCAGTGTATGTCAGTGAAACATCCAATCTCCAGGGAGCCTTTTAGTGCTCTTCCTAACAGAGTGCCTAACCTGGGTGAAGATCCTACAGAATTCCACTCTGAAATCCTAAAAAACGTGGCAAAGCTCTTTGTGATGTCTGCAGAACTGCAGCTATCCCTGAGTGTGGTACAGACCGGGAGAACTCCTACTCACTGGCACCTGAATTCCTTCAGGGTTTATTTCAGTACCTCACTGATTTAGAGCCTCGTGGGTCTGGAGTGACAGCAGAGAAAGATGGCTCGTTTAACAGCAAACATTGTGCCTTCAGCTGGTTGTGAGTTATTTCTGACCGGGTCTTCCTGAGCATTTGGGAAAATCCGGCAGGAACATGGGAGGGGAGGGGCTGTGAGCATCAGTTCTGCATCCAAGCTGGGTATTCCCAGCTTGTAAAGGAGTTTTGGTGCCTGCAGGTTCCCCAGGAGAGCTGTGCTAGGGCTTTGTCCGTGCAGAGGGACAGGGGGCACCGGGAGAGCTGAGCTGAGGTGTCAGAGGCAGCAGCTGCCTGCTGGGGACCTGGGGAAGGCACAGCTTCCACTCCTCAGATCCTGCATCAGGAAGCAACAATTACCTCACCCCCTTGTGTTTACTGCTTCGTGAAAACATCCTCAGAGCTCCAGAGAGTGCTGTTCCCCACCAGAGGCTCTGTAATTCTGCATGTTCCCTCAATCCAAGCTCTGTGACTGATGTCTTGATGCCTTTTGAAAGTTTAAGGTTTCCTGACAGCAGCCTGTCCTCTGCCTTCTTCAGGTATTGTTCTGCAGAGTAGGTGACTGAAAAGTAACTCCTGAATTGATTCCCAGAACTCAGAATATTCTGAAATGATAGGAACCCCCAAAGCTCAATCTTAAGTGAATGGCCCAGTTGGATCAAACTCACAATTTTGCCATTATTAACACCATGCTCTGACCAACCGAGCCCATCTCAGGGTCCACTATTTTCCTTTGCAAGTATTTATAAGTTATTTGCCAGTTCCAAGAGATCAGAAAATGCTGCCTAGTGATTCTGCATTTATTAGGATCCTACCTGTGCTTTGGCTGCAGTTCTAGCAACTTCTATTTTTCCTTGTGTTGGTGATGTGGTTGAATAGGAAACATTATTGGGAGGTGAAAAAGCCACTGACAGGAGTGTGGTGTGACCATTTGCAGCTGCTCCCTGGGTGTAAGAACTGATTTCCAGCAGTGCTCAGCACTCTGACTCCTCTCCCTTCTCCATGGCTGCACCTCTGCTTGTCTCAGCAGCACCTCCCGTTTTTTGATGAACCCCAGCCCAAGCAGGTTTGTGTTGTGTCCATCACCAAATTCACTTAACCTTATCAAAGTTTAAAACTTACATAGACTTTTTCCTAGCAGAATGCTTAAGCAGGTGCATAATTTTAGCCAGTTATGGCATCTCA